TCCCATCCGGTCACATGGGCGGCAAGCCACTCCCACAAAGGAGGCCACACCCACAGAGTAGGTTCGAACAATTTTTGAAACCCACCACTGCCACAGGACCACGGAGACGTCTTCGGACAGCGCTGGCTCTCCGGCTTTGAAATGGAGATGAGCACCACCCCCTAAAGTCGGGGACGACTAGCACGTATGTGCGAGGAGAACCTTTATCTGTTCAATTATTTTAAATAAATTGGAAGCTATCTATTCATATCAAGTGCAGTTGGAAATGAGCAAAGCAGACTTATCACTTTTGAGTCATTTTTGTATCCATTACACATAGCAAGATAATGCTCTTTGTTGCCAACAGTTGCTCTTTACACAATAGTAGTACAAAGTAAGAAGTAGTAGTAAGAAGCAAATGTTACTAGCACTCTTTTAACCCACTGATTGCAAGCCAGGCTGTTGCTGGGTTTAAGAGAAGTCAGTTTGAAGTGAGTGTAATTTCTGATAACTTCATGGACATAATTCATATAGATTTTGGCTGCAGCTACCACTGTCACCTTCTCAGAAGTTATCTTCAGCTTCTCATTCTAGACATTATCTAAACTTTAGGTTCAGTTAATCCTGTTCTCTCGCAGAAGAACTAACAAGATCCAACTCTGCGTACCTTTTTCAAGATGAAAGCTCCGAAGGTATCTTCTTGGCCCTTACTGATTTCATGTTGAGTAAACATGATTACATCTGTTTCAACCAAAAATACAGTCCTCCCTCTTCCTTATTGATCTTCAGCCCGGATTTATTCTCTCCTCCAATGTCATATGAAACTCCACGTATTCCTGATTAATTAGGAAAGATTAGTCTATTGATGGGAGGTGGCTGCTTACTGGTTCAGACTGGTTCGGCCGAACCGGTAGTGGTATGGAGGCCTGGATCGCTGGGAACTGCAGGCCTTGTCACGTCCCCAAACCGGTTGCCGCCATCACCGCCGCCATCTTGTTTTTCAATTCTGTGCATGCACAGAACAATTTTAATTGAACTGCAATGCATGCGTGCATGCCAAGGGTGCACAAAGCGTATGCATAAGCAAACCGGCAGTAAAACCGGCAAGGACCCACCCCTGAGCCATATGTTGACTCTATTGTGCGGTCCCACTCATTCACATGCATAACTAGCTGTGATTTAGCGGGTTTATTACTATTCCCCAGTAATTCCCTTCGCAAAAAATCCAGAGCTGCCCCAATTAAGTCCAGCCAAAATCAGACCAAGGCTACTCCAGAGAGCAATGGACAATGAGCCCACAAGACACTTGAAAGTTTCCCAAACAAGTATATGGACGTTCTCATTCATCCAGGTTATGGTTGACCCATAATCACGTAAGTCCAGAATCCACAAGGCACAATCCAAAGTCAAGTTATGGTGTCAAATCCAAAGCAAGGCAGGAATCACAATGACCAGGAAACACACAGCTAGGAAATAAATGTGTTGTTCCCAGCATCACCTCCATCTGCCTGCTGTTCTAAATAGCCAGCTTCTGGTGCAGCCCATCAGGAGGGACAAGGCTGCCTCCTTGCAAGTAATCTGGCTGACCTTCACTGCTCCTGCCTTGGCTCTGCCTTGCGTGTTCTTGGATTAGCTACAGAAGGCAGTTCCTCCATCTCATCACTGGCCAGGTGCAGCTGTGCTTCACCCAAATCCCTCTCAGCTGGCTGCTTAGAGCCATTGGCCAATTTCCCAGTGGTGGGATTCAAACAATTTAACAACCAGTTCTCTGCCCTAATGACCAGCTGGGTAGGTGGGGCTCGGTGGTCATGTGAGCAAACTCACTTAACAACTCTCTCGCTTAGCAACAGAAAGTGTCAGGCCTGC